ACTCTGCCGATAAACGCAATCTATAAGCCACTGCTCCAATCCGCTCCAAAATAGGAAAAGGTCCCATATATCTCGGTTTAAGCTTCTTCAGCTTCCGAGTCGTAGATCCTCCCTGAAACGTCCTCATCTTAAGGTATACCAGGTCGCCAACCTGAAACTCCAAGTCCTTACGTCGCTTATCTGCATAACTCTTTTGACGGCCATGGCTTTTCCAAATCCAACTTTGAGCATGTCTATCTACTCTACCGTCTCTGGAACCATTAATGGTTCTATTTCATGTCGCTCCCCGACCTTTGTCCAATAAAGTGGTGTACGATGATGCCTATCCAAAAAGAGTCCCATATCGTACATTCTTCATACTTGAATGATAGTTTTCACTGTAGGCAAGCCGTGCTAAAGGTAGATGCTTCCATATATAACTCCATTCTCATTCTAAAATGCAAGCTCTCAACAGATCTCCCAAGGTCAGAATAATCCTCTCTGAATGGCCATCTATCTGTGGGTGATAAGTAGTACTCATATGAACCTTTGACCCAAGATCCTTCAAAATACTCTCCAAATGTAGACGTAAACTGACATCCTGATCCTTTACAATGCTGACAAGAACTCCATGTAACCTCACAATCCCATTAATGTAGAACTGTGCCAACTGATTCAGCTCTGTCTGTCTTCTTAATTAGGAAATGAACTAGCTTTGTGAGTCTGTCAATGACTATCCATGTGGCATCCTCCCCGCTTGTGGTGAACGAAAATCCAGTAAGAATATACATAATCCCTATGCCTCATTTCCATTCTTACAAAAGCAAGCTTCACAATAACCTGGAAGATATCTGATCCTAAACATAACCATCTGACATGTCTGTACTATGATGCAATGTAGCTACAATCTTTCTCATACTAGGCCAACGATAGTTAACACTTAATATCTTTGTATCCCTTGATGTTTCCCTGGTGGATAGAAGAACGCGCGTGATCTGTTTGCTGCAAGATCCATTTTCTTAACAAATTATCGTCCGATACATAAACTCGATTTTGATTACAAGTACATCCTTCTTGAAACTGACTGATATACAACACTCTCAAACTCGATCCACCTAACCAAATCCATATCGCTATCTTGAGCTTGGTGTAATCTCCATAGTAAATTGTATGTTCCAATGCTCCAATACCAACTGTATCCTCCTCTACTGAACTGTACATGATCCGGAGGCTTGTAGGTGTCGTAGTAAACTCATGAATCTTCTTGTTTCCTAAGTCTTTGCTCATGTGCCTACCTAAGGCATTTGCCATCTGGTTGTCCTTACCAAAGGGCAGGTGATATCCAAACTGTAGACGACTACCAACTCAATCCATTTCCACGGTCTCAAGGGCAAGCTCTAATGAGTGAACATACATTCTAGAATCTGATGATCCCATGCAACCTAAACTTCATTGCCATACAATGATGATCCCCAAAACTCCAAAGCCGATGCAAATGCTGCTAACTCCAAATTGCGCACTGAATATATGGCCTCGAAATATATTCCAACTGACCACACCTAAATTTTAATACATTTCCATTATGATGGTGATGGTAAAAGAGACAACTCGATAACTCAGACTGGTTTCTGCTTGGTAGTTCTCTCCACTTAATCTCTTAACTTCCATTCCAAAATGCTCCATATTCTTACTCTTCATCTGGTTCGCGGCTTATGCAATGATCTGACCTTCTTGTATTAAAAATATAAAATCTGCCTATGCTCATCTTACTTCGCCATATTCCAACAATACCCACGGTGTCGTCGATGTATACAATCACGCACTTACCCAACTGCTCGCAAAATACTTTATTCATGCCCCAAGTAGTATCACTACAAACTCACTATATCCGTCACGCATACGTGAATCCGTATTCCGTACATACTCCTCAGCTATAGCAACCTGATGGTATCCTGATGCCAATGCAATCCTCGAAAGCAATGAATCTCCTAGTAGTTAATCCAGCCATTCATCAATATGCAGTAACAAATTCTTTTTCTTGATGATCACTTTATTCAAAACTCTGTAATCGATACCAAATATGAAATTCCATCTCTTTTTCCTCGCGACAAAACTAGTGGTACTCATAGTGAAATACTCGGTATGATAAAAACAATTATCTGATGAAACTCTCATTTTCCCCTTTAGCTCGACAATCTCTGCTGGCGCTAATATGTACTGAGCTCGTGAAACTAGTAGTGTCCTTCGTTCCATTTCAATCGCCAAATCGTCTCCTATGCTTGGTGATGACCCTTCCAAAGGTCTCTAATGCAT